TTTTCGAGGTTGTCCCAAATTTTTACTCATATCTCAGAACCTATTCTACCGATCTCGCTGATTTTCAATACCAAACTGCTTAGGATAACAATAAATATTTTGGGTGAATTTCATTAAGTTCCATTGCTTCGTTTTACCGTGAGCGTGTTTTATACAGACAGACGGACATATCTAAATCGACTCAGAATTTCATAAGGACCAATAATATATATACTTTGTTGGGTCTCAGATGAATATTTCTTTGTGTTACAAACAGAATGACAAACTTATATATACCCTTTATCACCACTGGTGGTGAGTCGATTTAGATATATAAACACGCTCACGGTAAAACGAAGCAATGGAACATAATGAAATTCACCCAAAATATTTATTGTTATCCTAAGCAGTTTGGTATTGAAAATCAGCGAGATCGGTAGAATAGGTTCTGAGATATGAGTAAAAATTTGGGACAACCTCGAAAAAAATTGTGTTTTTTCACATATTTAATTGTACTTTTTACAAAAACTATTGCAGATGAATTGATGAATTTTGTCAGAAATACAACCCTTGGTGCCAGGATCAATTATGTTAAAAATCGGTAAAATCGGTTCACAATTTCATATACCTCCCATACAAATGTACATATTCCAGGAAATTAATTTATTGTTAATAACTTCCGTTATAATGCCGATATCTTTACAAAATTTCACGAGTGAAAGTTTTATGCCAATAGAATTCATATAAATAATTAATTTTCTGAATAGGTCCATAATTGGTCATAGCTCCCATATAAGGTCCCCCTCCGAAAATCACTTAAACGCACATAACTCATTACCAAATAACGATATACATATCTAATTAGGCAGAAATATTGCTTTTGTATACAGAAATGTTAATGTAAAATTTGTATACGATCGGTCCGTAATTGGCCATAGCTCCCATACAAGGTCCCCTTCCGAAAATCACTTAAACGCATATTTCTCATTACCAAATAAAGATATTCATACAAAATTTGGCACAAATATTGCTTTTGTATACATAAATGATACTGTAAAATTTGTTTACGATCGGTCCATAATTGGTCGTAGTTCCCATACAATGTCCCCTTTCGAGAATCACTTAAACGCATATTACTAATTACTAAATAATGATATTCATAAAATATTTGGCTCAAATATTGTTGAATTTTGTCAGACATATAGTTTTTGGTACGGTGATCCACTGTGTTAAAAATCGAAATCGGTCCACAATTTCTTGTACCACCCATAGGGACTCAAAAATGTATTATTTTTCGCAAAAAAATAAATAAAATGTGTCCATAACGAACAGGATTTGAACTTAAGATCTCTCAGTTGCCAGTTCTACGTCATACCCACTACACTATTATCTAGCTTCGTAATTGCTTGCAATTAACGATGTTCACATAGAAATTTTCTTTCCAGTTTGTGTAAAAAATTGTTGCTAAACCACGATCAAATAAAATGTACACATTGAGAAAGTGTAACTGTTTAATTTTTTATGCTATTCAGCAACATCAGTGTTAATAAAAGTTATTCAGCAGCAATGTTTTGTATAAACAGGAAATAACACGGCATTTTTATATATTAGTTAACGAAAGACAAAATAATGATGTGGTGTAATGGATAAAATAGAGAATTAACAAACCGAGCATCGCCGGTTCGATTCCTGGTCGATTTAAATTTTTTTGTCATAAATAATAAACATTTTTAAAAAATCCAATTAAATGTGTAACTTTTTCTAAAAACATTTGATTTCTGATTAGATTTAGCCACGTATGACCGTCTGTCGATTCATAATTCTTTTCATTTGTCTGTGTAAAACACGATCAAATTAATAATCTTTGGCCAAAATTTTGATTATATTCTTATGTAGTTTGGCATTGAATATTGAAAAATTCGGCTCAACAATAAAAATTTAAAAATAAAATTTTTTGACAACATTGAAACAAAATCTTGTTTTTTTTTTAATTTTTTTTCATAGGATCAACAATATTGAAAATCTATCGTACCTCCCGTACAAAATTATATAGGTTTTAAAATTGATCATATTGCCATACATTTTTCCCACACATTGAAATTATTTTAAATACATAACATACGTTAACATTTGTTACATTTAGTACGCTCTTTAACAGTCTGTTAAGTGATAGTTTTGTTATACCCTACACCACTTTAGTGGTGAGGGTATATTGGGTTGTGCTGATGTTTGTAACGCACAATAATATTGGTCCTATACCTACCTTAAAGTATACCAATCGGCTCAGAATCATTTTCTGAGTCGATTTAGCTATGTCCGTCCGTCCGTCCGTCCGTCCATGTAAACCTTTTAATCAAACTATAGGTCGCAATTTTGAAGATAATTCAATGAAATTTGGTACATGATCTTCTATTGTCCCAGGGACGAAGCCTATTGAAAATGGTTAACATCGGTCCATTATTTCACCTAGCCCCCATACAACTGAACCCCTCGAATAGGGCTTTTAAAACTTGTAATCAAACTACAGGTCGCAATTTTGGAGATAATTCAATGAAATTTGGCACATGATCTTTTATGGTATCGTAGACGAAGCCTATTGAAAATGGTTAACATCGGTCCATTATTTCACCTAGCCCCCATACAACTGAACCCCTCGAATAGAGCTTTTAAAATTTGTAATCAAACTACAAGTCGCAATTTTGGAGATAATTCAATGAAATTTGGCACATGATCTTTTATGGTACCGTAGACGAAGCTTGTTGAAAATGGTTACCATCGGTCCATTATTTCACCTAGCCCCCATACAACTGAACCCCCAAATAGGGCTTTAAAACTTGTAATCAAACTACAGGTCGCAATTTTTGAGATAATTCAATGAAATTTGGCACATGATCTTTTATGATACCGTAGATGAAGCCTGTTGAAAATGGTTTACATCGGTCTATTATTTCACCATCTCATATCTCGACAAAAAGCTGCAATAACCAAGTTGTATACAAAACTTGATGACCCCCACGAATTCCATAATAATAGGTTCTCATATGACCCTAGCCCCTATGAAAAGCCCCCATCAAAATTTCACTTAAATGTCCACAATTTTATTCAACAATAAACGGCTTAAGTATGTATATCTAAGGCAAGGTAAAATTCAACTTAAATGCTTTATTATGGCAACTAAATCACATTATATTTTTGTCAAAGGTGTAGGGTATTATATGGTCGGCCTCGCCCGACTATAATTTCTTACTTGTTTTTAATTGCATATGTAAGGCGTAATGAAAGTAAGTGTAAAATGTTAAGGTAAATTTGAATCAATCCATAAAATTTGATAAATTACGCAACCAGTTTAAGGTGGAGGGTATTTAAGATTCGGCAAAGCCGAATATAGCACTCTTACTTGTTAAATGTAATTTTTTTTTTAAATTTTTATTTTTTGATTTCAATTTGGATTTAAAATTTTGTTTTAGTTTTTTAAATAAGTTTTATTTATTTTTTTGTTTGTTTTTAATTTTAGGTTAAAATTAAGTTAAACTAAATTATATGAATGAAATTACTATATTTTTTTCCACTTTTGCAGATGTAGTCTGTGGAAGTAGGTGTTTTTCAACACCAAACAATTTCTACAAAATCCCATTGAAATCTGGGACTGTTAACTTTGTGTACATTAATTACACTAGTAGGACAACCTGGCAAATTGTGGGTTGTATACACCGCCATTAAATTTGCAAGTCCAAAAAAATAATAATAATATATTTCAAAATTAACCATAGCCACAAAGTATACAGAGGTGTCACCTTTGACGTTTAAAAAAGTCTAAAATCAGATGTTGTCTGTAGCTTTTGTGAAACTTGTACATGAAGAGATATATAAAGTGTTGTGGAAGAGATTTTTTTTAGTTAATCACGTTATCTACACGATGTTAATATCAAATATAAAACAACATTGTTTAATATGTTAAGCCTGGTACTCTGTTCAAAGTTGCGAAAAATTATGGTTTTTTCATGCGAAAAATTTGATGTGCAACAAATGCAGTCTATCTCGCGATTTTGGAAAGTTTGTCGCTTTTATTGCTATAAAGTATGCATCATTGCTTTAAATACGTAAACAAAAACCATGTTTTTTGAGAGCTGAAAATAAAATAAATCTTAATAATATAAACTATTCAGTGTCTTTTTATTTAAAATGAATGAAAATATATTATTGACCGCTTGTGCAGTAAATTTAATGTTTTGTTTATCATTTTTTATTGATTTTGTAATTTTTTTATTTTTTCGGCTCGAGAAATAATAATTTTGGGAAAAACAATGAAATGTAATCAGCTGTTTGTTTTAATTTCGCGCGAAAGAAGTGCTGCTTATGTTTTTTCGTAAGTTGGAAAACGAGGTTGCCAGATAAATTTAACAATGTTTTTCACAATAAGAACAGAGTACTACTTTTGCGAAATTATTTCGCAAATATTTCATACCAAATATTTTATATGTAGTTTGACAGCATTTCGCACGAAATTTTGAACAGAGCACCTAGCTTTAAATAGAAAAAATATTTCTCTTAAATAAAATTTTTGTATACATACCAATTATAACATTATTTAAATAAAACAAGTAGGAAAGTATAGTCGACCATGGCCGACCATATGATACCCTACACCGCTGAGTATGTTAAAAATGTGGATTATATTTAATAACAAAGCATTTAAGTTGTTTACCTTAATTCCGAAATATTTAAACAATTTGTTGAAAGAAGTGATTTTCTAAAAGAGAGGTTATATGGGGGCAAGGGTAAATAAGGGCCTATCCTTATAAATTTTGGTACATGGCTTTACGTTAGAGTTATGTATGCTGGATTTCATCGTGATACTAGTGTTTATTAGTGAATTATTGACCTTCAAGTCATTTTCTGAAGGGGACTTTGTATGGGGCTAGGGTCAAATAAAGTCCGATAATTATGAAAATTGGTAGCATTATTAAGACGTATATAGAACTAAGTTTTGCCCATTTTCAATGGGCTTTGTCGTTGGGCCGAAAAACACGTATGGTCCAAATTTTATCAAAATATCTTGAATTGCGACCTGTACCTTGCGCACAAGGTTTACGTGGATAGCCAGCCAGACAGACCGACGGGCGGACATGGCTTAATCGACGAAAGTAATTCTGAGTCGATCGGTATACTTTAAGGTGGGTGTAGGGCCAATATTTTTGTGCGTTACAAACATCAGCACTAACGTATAATACCCTCCCCACTATAGTGGTGTATTTGTTAACGAGATGCTTGGTATTTTTAGATTTTTTACATAATTAATTCAAAATATTAACGCAGTTTTTCTCCCTTTAACCTAATTCGTTCACAAAATGAAAGTATGCCATTAGCGTATTCAACCCCCCGAAGCATTTTTCGCTGCTAGGTCAAACTTTTACGCTATCGCTAATTGAAAGTACATAGTAGGTTAACGGGATTTTTAACTTTAATTAATAAAAACAATTAACGAATGGGGTATCATATGAAAGCTCCTTCGAAGTGCAATTGAATAATATGTAAATCAAGAACATCCATTTCAAAATTTTCGCGGTTTCCGAATAAAAGCATATTTTTTTTTTTTGGAAAATCGAAAAAATGGTATTTAAACGGCTAATTAAATGGCCAAATTAAAAATTTTTCTGCGAAATGCACTGTTTGAATATATTTAAATACATAAAACATGTTTTTTTTTTTTTTTTGAAAACTTTAAACTATAATATTTAAAAAAAAAATAAAGCTTTTGATTTTTTGCACATTTGGTATAAAAATGTGGGGGAAAATATTTTAATTTGAAAGTAATTGCACGTTTTAGAAATGTCAATGACAAATGTAAGTTTGATACCTATATTAAATATTTTTGATATAAATTTTGAGACTAAAAGAATAGACAAAAACGCGAATATAAAAAATAATAAAATACAAGATTCGTTTAATCACATAGAAATTAAATAAAATTTGACTAATTTGTCAAAATAATCCGTATACTGTTCGAAAAAATTTAATATTTTTTTTAATATTTTATAATTTTACGGAAGCTGCGTTATGAATATTGGAGATTTTTACATTTACTAATGCGCTTTCGAAAGACCTTTTAAATGATACCACTGTCGCCCTACTCCAATAAACATTTATATCATTGCATAACAAGTGTTTAAAAAATTAACTAGAATGACCCATTAAAAATCAATATTTGTGGTCCGAAATCTGCAAGATATATTCCTTGCAAAGTTACTCTGCAGAGCTAAACAAAACATATATTTTTGAAGTGAATTCTGAAAGTATTTGTAATGTTTTAATAAACTTAGTGTTAAAAAGCACAACTTTCAATGACCGATAACATAAAAGTTTGACCTACCAACGCCGAACGGTTTGGGGGCTTTAATACTCCAACGTAGTACTTTAAGTTATAATGGGAATTTTTCACCCTCCAGACCATGACCCTAGAGCTGTCCATGTAAAAAAACATCGATGTTTTTTGCCATTCGATTCATCATTAATTCACATCGATGTTATTCGATGCATCAATTAAAAAAACATCGATGTTTGCGATGCATCGTATTTATTCTAACTGGAACTAAACAAAATTAATTTAATAAAAGTCAAATTATTTTAACATATTGAATATAAGTTGTTTATTTTATGAGGCATTTTTTTCATTAAATTCAATGTTATTACATTATTAAGGTCCTAATTGTGTAAAACATGACACCAAGTTATATTTATGTATATGGATAGAAAAAACAAAATTTTAAATATATGTATATGCAAATTCTGAACTGAACAACCGCACCAAAATTCGGACATTGCTTTTCATAATTTGAAATTTTTGTATGAAAAACAAACAAAAAATTTATAATGTTTGAAATTTTGTTTTTTCTATCCATATAAATATCACTTTGGTGACGTGATTTACAAAATTAGGGCTTATTATTGTTATATTATTACATGTAAAAAAATATAAATTCTGATTGAACTAAAATGTTTATAAATGAATTTGTAGACGAATGTCAAATAAAAATAATATTAAATAAAAGTAGAATTTAAAATTTTTCAAAGATTAGGAAATTTGTTTTACTAAATGTCTCAATACTTTTTATTTAAGCTTTACAAAAACAATATTTTGTTCACCCTCTCTGCCTGCAAACTGCTTCTTTTTTGGGACAACACTAATGAAGCCTTTGAGAATAGCCTTTCAGATGGCACGGAACTGGCAACCATTGTTAAATATTTGTATGCTATATTGTACAAACTGGGGAATTGAATTTTGTAGTCGGCCCACACTTCTAGAGGATTTTCATCAAACCGACTTACCGGACTTCGCAAATAAACTGAGAGTTCATCAGAAAAGTTCCCTTCAGTCCTATTTGTTTTCCAATTTCTATGAACTAATTTGTGGTGATCACTCCAGAGACTAAATTCGTCTATCGGATTGTCTGAAATATCGGAGTCGCCATCCCCAGACTTTTCGTCTGCCATATCTCTTATCATTTCTTGGATTTTCCCAACGGCTTTCGAACATGCAAGTGGATCTTCAAAATGTATTTTTTTAAACCGTGGATCCAATAATGTGGCAATAGCCAGAAGTGATACATGTTCGATATCACCCATTCGCTTGTTGATTTCAATAAGAGCCATTTTATGTACTTCATTTAACAAGGGTTCTTCAATTTCAAGAGCTTTTAGTTTCGATACCATACAGTGAACTAGCGGAATAACTTTGCTGCTATTGCAATATGTATCACCGGATATTTCTTTTGTAGCTGCCTCAAAAGGCCGTAATATGTTAAGTAGTTTTGAGGATGTGGATAATTCCATACCTGTCAACATTGGTGGGGCAGTTTTGTGTCGAAGTAATATATCACTTACGGCATTTCGAAGTTCTAGAAACCTTTCGATCATATAGAACGTGCTATTCCAACGAGAAGGTACATCTTGGATAAGTTTTGCATCAGCTTTTGTCGTTTTTCTTAATTCGTCACTTGCTACGCAACTTTGTTTAAAGAAAGTGACAATATTTTTTATTTTAGTTACTAATGCCTGCAACTCTGAGATATTTAGTACTTTTTGCGCTAAATTTAGTGAGTGCGCAAAGCACGGTATGTGCTTCTTTTTCCAAATATTGTTATAGACCCAACGTGTCACAGTACCTCTACATGGAACTTTAAAATGCGGCGATAGCACTTTTATTAGATGTTTAAAACCTTCATTCTCTACCAGTGAGAACGCGTGATAATCTTTACAAATCATATATACAATAGCGTTGTTAATTTTTTTTGCCTTGTCACCATCGGAATAAGAAGCAATATCTTCAAAACTTGTTTGTATAGACCTCTGACGCTTTAAAGGTACTAATTCAGTAGTTGTGTCATCATTTACCTCAATACATGATACAGGTTGTACACTATGTGAACTACTTGTAGACGGCACACATGAATCGGAAACAACTGGTGTATTTTCGCCTAACACTCTCACAAAATTTGTATTTATTAATTTTTGCGTTCCAGAATTTTTTATTTCAGCCATTTCCAAAAATGTAGCCTTGTGAATGTGTTTAATATGGCCCATCAAGTTAGAAGTATTACCAGCGGTTCTTATATTTTTTTCACACAGCTTACACTTTGCAGATTTATTGCCATTTTTTTCAAAGTATTTCCAAACCAAGCTCGACGTTGACGGTGCCATTATTACAACCTGTAACAGTAAAATTAAGACAAATATAATATTGCTGTTAACATCAAACACACAAAAATAACTTACATTGCTGATTTATACCATAAAAACGAAAATTTTGTTCTCTATACAAATATACTTTAGATTTTTTTTTGCATACGCTGTTGCTTCGATGATGGTTTATGAATATAACGTATATTTTTTCTGTGTTGTTACTTCAAGCGATTTTAAAACAAATTAAGTCATTCTTGAAGGGTTTTTGTTTAAAAACATTGTCAATACTTTAAATGAGTTGCAATCATCTACTTAAACAAAAGCTGCCGGATGCGTAAATTTAAAATTCTGCTTTTCGATACATCGAATAAAAAACATCGATGTATCGATTAACATCGTATGATACGATACATCGACATTTAAACGATGTATCGAAACCAAAACATCGATGTTTACGATGCATCGATTAACATCGCACAGCTCTACATGACCCTCAATTTGTTGCATAGTGTAATTTATGTAAGAAATCTGAAAATATCAACCATTTGGTATAATTGGTACTTAATATAAATATAATATTTTTTCTATTAAATGTTAACCCTACAAGCAAGAAGATACGAATATGATACGAATTCGTATTGCTTAGAAGAAAAAATTGATTGTGGCAACAATCATATTCGTATTGCGGAAGATACTCTCTTCGGGAGAGTTTGTGTGGCTAGGGCGATACTCCTTAGCAATAGGAGTATTAGTAGACAAAAAAGAGATATTGCTAGATAACCAGCAGGGTGAAAATAAGAAGATATCTTCAGATGATCTTATTAAGGATAAATAAGGGATATTGCTAGATTATCTTTAGTTGTTCATAAAGAAGATAAATTGAATTTTTTATATAAAAATGCATTTTTATTAAACATTTAAAAACTACACTATTTTATTTATATTATTGAAATTATTTCTGCATTCCCGAGCAATATTCTTCAGCAAACACATTATATTGCCCAAAGATTTAATCAAACCGCTGGAAATGTACCTCAAAATTTCAAGGACTGAAAATTAAGAAGTTATGTCCAATTTTTTATTGTAAAATAATACAAACATAAACTTACTTTACAATGCATAAATGTCCACCACATGAATTTCTTGATTAGTTTAAAGATTATTATAATAAACATTTGAAAAAAAATTTTCAACATTTATAATTTTAATAAAAATTTTGAAGTTATATAGCTTCCGTATGATAATCTAGCGATACAATACACTTTTTTGTTTATTGCTGAATTTTCGTTTAAATAAATAAAAATTCGATATTACACAAATATTGCTTTGATGATTTTCATCCAAATGATAAAACGAAGTTATTGCTTTTATATCTTTTATGGACGATACCTTCTAAATGTTTGTAGGGAACACATTACACAATTTTAGACGTTTAAGACATTTTTTGAAAGGGGATTTGTATGGGGGCTAGGGTCAAATAAGGGGCGATCATTACGAAAATCTGCAGTGTCATTTATACTTATATAAAACGTAATTGTGCCAATTTATAGAGAGATAATAGTATATTTGACGAAATTATGGCATAAAAAGCCCAAATCGAGAGGTACGGTTGTATGGGGGCTAGGTGAAATAATGGACCGATTTCAACCATTTTCAATAGGCCAAAAATTGTGCCAAAAAACATGCTTGGTCCAAATTTCATTAAATTATCTTGAAAATTGCGGCCTGTACCTTGCGCACACGGTTTACATGGACAGCCAGCCAGCCGGACAGACGGATGGACGGACGTGTCTTAATCGACTCAAAATGTGATTCTGAGTCGATCGGTATACTTAAAGGTGGGTGTAGGACCAATATTTTTGTGTGTTACAAACATCAGCACAAACGTATAATACCCTCCCCACTATAGTGGTGTAGGGTATAAAAACTATCAGCTGTGCTCTCTCATTCACCTACATAAATTCGGCTTTCTCAAAATTTTGTTGTTGTATTTCTGTGTGGATTTTAAAAAAGTTGCGTGCAGATCTTACTTCGACAAATGCTGATCCACAAAGTATACAGAGGTGTCACTTTTGACATTTAAAAAAGTCTAAAATCAGCTTTTGTTTAATTTTGAAATTGTTTGGTGAGAAGAGGTATATAAAATACAGCTAAAAAAATCATTGAAATCGTTTTGTGCGAAAGAGAGGGAAATAGTTTTTTGCTCGAGACGCCTCTGTATACCCTGTGGCTGATCAGCAACTGAGTTAATTTTGTTTTGCAAGTTGAGAGATAATCAACTAACACATGCTCAAATAAGAAAATACACAAGTAAGCTTATAGTGTAGGTGAGTCAACGCAACGTCAGCAGAATATTCTTGCCCTATCTCGCTTGATAGAAAATCGAGATTTTGGGCAACAATGCTTTATTTACAAAGTGTAAATCAAGGCGAATTTACATAAGGTGGTGTTATTCAATCTGCTGATTGTTTTTTCTTCACTTGACTGGTACTCACTGATGTCAGAGTTTGTTATTGTTCACATTTTTATATATAAAAATTTCCGTTAAAACAGAGAAAAACATCGTTAGTATTTTAAAATATTTAAGTAAAAAATCATATACAAATATATTTTAAAAAACAACAAATATATTTTATTTAAATAATGGAATAATTGGTATTTATTTCATTTGAAAGAAACATTATTCTATTTTGGATGTATTTTCTTCACAAATTTTAAGTTTGGTATTGAAAATGAGCGAAATCGGTCTACATCGGAAAGAGTTATGAATCAAAATTTAAAAAAACTCCGAAAAAATTAAGCTTTTTTAACACATTCTAATACAATTTTCACAAAAACTATGCGCTATAATTTCATAAAAATCAGCACACAATTGTTTCCATACGAAAGCTTAATTCCTGTTAAAAATGGGCGGAATCGGTCCACATCTTCATATACCTCCCATACAAATGTACATATTTCCGGAAAATGCATTAATTGTTAATAACTTCCGGTAGAATGACAATATCTTCACAAACTTTTACGAGTAAAAGTTTTAGGTCAATTGAATTCATATAGAGGAAACATTTTCTGAATCGGTCCATAATTGGCCGTAGCTCCCATACAAGGTCCCCTCCCGAAAATCGGTTAAGCGCACATTACACATTACCAAATAATGATATCCATACAAAGTTTTGCACAAATATTGCCTTTATATACAGAAATGATACTGTAAAAGTTTTTCATGATCGGTCCATATTTGGTCATAGCTGCCATACATGTTCCCCTCCCGAACATCACTTAAACGCTTATTGTTAAATAACGGAATCCATACAAATTTTGACCCAAATATTGATTATATACACAGAAATTATACTGTAAATTTTTTTTACTATCGGTCCATATTTGGTCTTAGCTCCCATACAAGGTCCCCTCCCGAAAATCACTAAAACGCACATAACTCATTACCAAATAATGGAATCATTACAAATTTAGGCACAAATATTGGTTTTATTTTTTCATAAGCGGTCCATATTTGGTCTTAGCTCCCATACACGGTCCTCTCCCGAAAATCACTTATGCGCACATATCTCATTATTAAATAATGGTATCCATAAAAATTTTGGCACAAATATTGCTTTTATATATAGAAATGATACTATAAAATTTCTATACAAAATTTGCCACAAATATTACTTTTGTAAACAAAAATGTAATTTGAATATTGTTTTACGATCGGTACATATTTGGTCATAGCTCCCGTAGAAGATCTCCTTAAAAAATTTGGCACAAATATTAATTTAGAGTACATAAATTTTATTTAAAAAAAAAATTCACGATCGGCCCATATTTTGTCATAGCTCCCATAAAAGGTCGCCTCCCAGATATCACTAAAATTCACATTACTCCTTACCAAACATGATAGCCATGCAAAATTTGACACAGACATTACTTTTGTATACAAAATGTTATTTTATATTTTTTTTACGATCGGTCCATAATAAGGGTCCGATCGGCCTCATACAAAGCTTCTTCCAAAAATCACTTTAATGCACATCACTTATTAGCAAATAGCTATATAGATACAAATTTAAACAGAAATATAGCTTTTATTTACAGAAATGTTTTTGTAAAAACACTTTAACTGTATATAATTAATTGTAATTTGTTTAGTGAAATTAATTTAGTATAAACAAATTCTGAAAATCTAAATTTTCTAACATTTTACAAACATGCATACCTGGAAGTTATTAAATATCTTTAAAGCATATTTTAAGGCGCTATAAAATATTATAGAAAATAGTGCTTATAATGCTGCGAAAAAACAATAGTATTGGAAAAGATGAGGAACCCTATTTCCACAAATATTTGATTAACTAAAATGTTATTAATATAAAAGAAGCAGGTGGATGGTATTTAAGATTTGGCTCAGCCGAAAATGGCTCTCTAACTTGTTATATTTATTTTTTATAAAAAATAAAAATTTTACGAAAAGTTTTCATTAAATCAATTCGCCGTACTTACAGTTTTTGAAATCAGTGCGTACCAAATGCAAAAACAAACAAGTAAGAAATTATAGTCGGGCGAGGCCGACCATATAATACCCTACACCTTTGACAAAAATATAATGTGATTTAGTTGCCATAATAAAGCATTTAAGTTGAATTGTACCTTGCCTTACATATACATACTTAAGCCGTTTATTGTTGAATAAAATTGTGGACATTTAAGTGAAATTTTGATGGGTGCTTTTCATAGGGGCTAGGGTCATATGAGAACCTATTATTATGGAATTCGTGGGGGTCATCAAGTCTTGCATACAACTTGGTTATTGCAGCTCTTTGTCGAGATACGAGTATATTAAACATAATTATGAACTTAAAAGCCCTATTCGGCGGGTTCAGTTGTATGGGGGCTAGGTGAAATAATGGACCGATGTAAACCATTTTCAACAGGCTTCATTTACGGTACCATAAAATATCATGTGCCAAATTTCATTGAATTATCTCCAAAATTGCGACCTGTATAATGGACCGATGGTAACCATTTTCAATAGGCTTCGTCTACGGTACCATAAAAGATCATGTGCCAAATTTCATTGAATTATCTCCAAAATTGCGACCTGTAGTTTGATTACAAGTTTTAAAAGCCCTATTGGGGGGTTCAGTTGTATGGGGGCTAGGTGAAATAATGGACCGATGTTAACCATTTTCAATAGGCTTCGTCTACGATACCATAAAAGATCATGTGCCAAATTTCATTGAATTATCTTCAAAATTGCGACCTGTAGTTTGATTACAAGTTTTAAAAGCCCTATTCGAGGGGTTCAGTTGTATGGGGGCTAGGTGAAATATCTTCAAAATTGAATTGAATTATCTTCAAAATTGCAACCTGTAGTTTGATTACAAGGATTACAAGCCCTATTGGGGGGTTCAGTTGTATGGGGGCTAGGTGAAATAATGGACCGATCTTAACCATTTTCAATAGGCTTCGTCCCTGGGACAATAGAAGATCATGTACCAAATTTCATTGAATTATCTTCAAAATTGCGACCTGTAGTTTGATTACAAAGTTTACATGGACGGACGGACATAGCTAAATCGACTCAGAAAATGATTCTGAGCCGATTGGTATACTTTAAGGTGGGTATAGGACCAATATTATTGTGCGTTACAAACATCAGCACAAACCCAATATACCCTCCCCACTAAAGTGGTGTAGGGTATAAATACATGTAAAATGTTGTTGCCGAACTGCCACCACCTTATCTGAATTCGCCTTGGCTAAAATGATACTTCATATATCAAGGCGAATTCAGATAAGGTGATGATATAATAAATATGAATATAATAAATTTGTCATCAGTGAAGGCATGAAAAATGCACCCAAATTCATTCATGTAACTCCACTATAGGAATTGTAATATTTTACTATAATTTGGTACTCTCTTAGGAGATTTAACGAAAACGTGCATTTCATACAATAAATATTAAAAATGATATTAATTATACCCTACACCACTTCAGTGGGGAGGGTATATTGGGTTTGTGCTGATGTTTGTAACGCACAATCATATAGGTCCTATACCCACCTTAAAGTATACCAATCGACTCAGAATCATTTGTTAAAGTCGTCTGTCCGTCCGTCCATGTAAACCTTGTAATCAAACTATAGGTCGCAATTTTGAAGATAATTCAATGAAAATTGGTACATGATCTTCTATTATCTCAGGGACGAAACCTATTGAAATTGGTTAAGATCGTTCCATTATTTCGCCTAGCCCCTATACAACTGAACCCCCCAATAGGGCTTGTAAACCTTGTAATCAAACTACAAGTCGCAATTTTGGAAATAATTCTATGAAATTTGGCACATGATCTTTTATGGCGCCGTAGATGAAGCATATTGAAAATGGTTAATATCGGTCCATTATTTCACCTAGCCCCCATACAACTGAACCCCCGAATAGGGCTTTTAAACTTTGTAATCAAACTCCAGGTCGCAAATTTGGAGATAATTCAATGAAATT